TATATATTAAATTGTAAACTATTTAATCATTGAATTGATAACTATTTATAATAACACCTAGATTAAGAAATTTCAAACTATTATTTATTTTCCGTTTAGTTTTCATATCCTTGTATTTTTTTTTTTTAACTTCCATTTCTTTTGTAAAAACTTCGAAACATTTTTGTATATTATGTAGTTTGTATATATAATATTAATCAAACTTTATTTTACAAGCTTCAATTTCGCACTCATATTGTATATATAAGTTAAACATGTTGTGTATATATATGTGTGTGTTGAACTTTTTTTAGACATGTTGTACATATAAAATAATTTAAAAAAATTTAGGTGAGCTCACATTTTTTAAAAATAATATAAAATATTTTAGATAATATAACATATGTTATATAACAATTACAAATTTAATAACCTTATAGATTCAGTCCTACTACTACTGTTCTCTATAATAAAATTAATTATATTAATCAATAAATTGCACATATAAAAATTCAATATGAATATTTAAAATCTACACACTACACAAGAAAAAAATACATTGAGCTAGCAAATATCTTTCCAAATAAAAAAGGTAGTTGTTATAACTCAATATAATAAACGTCAAGTAATATAGGCTATATAGCTTTCAACTACTTTATGGGATAATATAAGAATAAAATATAATTGGCATATTTGTTTTATAGATGACATTCAACAACAATTACAAATCAAAAACATTATAGAAAGATGATGTTATTGAATTTATTAGTAATCTTTTGTAAAATTTTAATCTATCTATATATAAATTATTTGAAATGTGTGTGTGTCGATATTATTTTTTGTCAATATACTGATCTTCTGTATATTTTTTAGTTATAATTATATATTGTATGTCAATATTATGATGACATATTATTTCAAAAAATGTATATTTGTCAATATTATTTTAAAAAAATGTATATTTTTTAATCTATCATTGTATTACCTCTTTTATGATGAAATGTAAATAAAATTTTTGTTATTATTAATAAAACTTGTAAAGTTTATGTAAACAAAATAGACTGAGTAAGTAATTGCCATAAAATAAATCACGCCATTGGCAAAAAAATCCATTGGACAACATCTATATACTATAGGGTATTGCATTAAAAAATATTTAAATCAAAATGTTTAAAGATAAACATAAAAAAATTATTTTATTTTTTAAAACTTTTAAATTTGCATTGTTAGTTTTATACATGAACCTAATATTTTTGAATTGCATTAGTTTTTTCAGAAGTTTAAGGAATTAATTTAGTATCATTATGCTAGATTTTACTTGGGAAATTTACATATATAGAGCCTCTATATCAAATATTTTCATATATACGTTCTTTACAACTTTTCATCAAAATAGGATTTTGATAGGATTTTTTTTTCATATATACGAATAGCTTGTACGTATCTCCAATTAATCTTGCTCTTTTATTTTTCTCTCTCTCTCTCTCCATATATTAAACCTCCAATTAATTCTCTCTCTCTCTCTAATGAATTTCTCTCCAATTAATTCTCTCTCTCTCCATGATATATATATTTCTTCTCTCTCTACAAAAATATTAGACGAAAAAAGGCATAGAAGGATTCAGAAGGTGATGGATTTTACAAAAGATTTGTTGCAAAAATATTATGTTAAAACCAGAAAATTATACGTAAGATAAACATCAGATAAACAAGTCTATAGAAAAAATATACATAAGATAAACAACTCTATAACAATTCACTGCATCCTGATTATTTTTTCATACCTTGACATAATATATACATATATATATATATATATACACAAGATAGATAGAATATAAACATATTATTGTTTATGCAATAACCAACGAGAACAAAAAGTGTATATATATACATAAAATAAACAGTATATAAA